AGAGTGCTATAACATCACAGCTCACAGCAACCTCTAACTCCTGGGCTCAAGCAATTCTCTTGCCTTAGCCTCCCAAGTAGCTGGGACCACAGGTACCTGCCACAATGCCCGGCTATTTTTTGGTTTTAGTTGTCGTTGTTTGGCAGGCCTGGGCTGGATTTGAACCCGCGAACTCTGGTATATGTGGCTGGTGCCTTAGCCACTTGAGCTACAGGCGCCGAGCCTAGAAGAATGTTTTTAAAAGGCCTATGGACCTTCCTTTGTCGTTTCAATCTTCCAGAACCAAAATGGGTGAGCAACCTGCAGCATTATGCAAATAAGCTGAGTGTGAGCCTGACTCACAGACCTTAAGAAAGTGTGAATTTTGGATTGCGGCTGGCCTTGGTCCATGGCTGTTCATCAGAACTGGAGAAGATTGCTTCAGGCAGTCTTCTACCCACGACATTGAACCAGGGCTGGCCTCTCAAGAACATAATACACGTGCTTCCTAATTCTTTAATATGCATATTTCAAGCCCAGTGAGCAGAGTAGAATAATCTAATGAAAATGGCATTTTCAAATTCTTCTGATTATAAATTATTGATGTACCACATTAGAAATATTCTCCAGCAATTCGTACCACCTTGAGCGTGTAACTATCTTAAAGGGACATCTGTGGATTTCCTTAGACTGTTTTCATTTTCCGATTTTGTAATATCTGAGCTATTTTTCAGGCTTAATGACAAATGTAGATGGAAGTGGGGTAACACCATAAAGCCATCATTACAGGACTAACTGCTAAATGAGCATATGGGACAAAGCTTGGAAGTTACCAATTATTATTCGTAGGTTTCAAATCTGATTAGTATTCAATATAAAGGCTGCAAACACTGTCACACCTATTATGCCCTAGTATCACTAGAGAAACCAACACTGTGACTAGAGTAAGTGACGGATCTTCCTTGAAGCAACAAGGAGGTTGGATGAGTTTTACTGTATTTTGGTACCAAGGAAAGAAAGGAATTTCTCAAATCTGAAAAGCTAAGTTAGTAAAAGAGTAATTATAGTTCAGATACCAGATAGGGGTAGAGTTCTAAGGTGAACAGAAGAGGAAAAATGCTGAAAAATCTCAGAAAAGTTGTCTGCCAAAACATGTTATACTTGGTGTCATGAGTTGAATTGACCCAGAATACAGTGGTATATGAATAGAATGCCTTTAAAGAGGTAAGTTATCATAAAATGAGGGTGTCAGGGTGAGCCCTAATCCAATCTGACGGGTATCCTGATAAGAAGAGGAAATCTGGACACAGAAATCCACACACAGAGGCAAGACCACGTGAGGACTTAGTCAGAAGGCTGCCGTCTGCAAGCCTGGGAGAGAGTCCTCAGGAGAAACCAAATCTGTTGTCCCCTTGGTCTTGAACTTCTCGCCTCCAGAACTGTAAGGCAATGAATTTCTGTTGTTTAAGCCCCCCAGTCTAGGGTGTTCTGTTAAGGCACGCCTAGCAAGTGAATGCACTTCGTACATCTTCACGCTCAGTAAACAAGCTAAGCCAGTATGTCAAATTACAACTTGTGCTTCCAATACAATCCAGTCCTATTTCGGGAAACAGTTAATGTGTCTAGAGAGGGTAGGTACTCACCACATCGAAGGCAGTAAACACATGACAGTAGTGGTGATTGGACTTCAAATCTTTTGTAATATAAGCAAACGTGGACAGGTCTTCTGGGTCCTGGGCAGCACAGGAGATATTACGAATTTCATGCTCGGCAATTATGTTCTGGAAGAAATGACACCAATGACCATTTTTCCCCTTTGCAAACCGGCATATTTGAGAAGTGAGATAAGCAAGCTGGGAAGAAGTTGCTTTCTTTCTTTCCAGAACATTCTAGACCAGCAACATTCAAAGTGATCCACTGCACTATTAATAGGCTGATGTATGCCAGGTCTGGAAGAATTATTTTCATTTAATTAAAAACAACCTAAAATAGTCATATCCTGGAGCAGTGGTTCTCACCAGGTGCTGTGCATGGAAGCAGTCTGGGTGGCAGACACTTAAAAATAGCAATTATAAGCATGGTACTGTGTCTCCATTCCCCATGTCCTCCTGTAGACGCGTAGCCCTGCCTCCTGCTAATTCTGCCTGCAAAGAATCACCTTTCACTTCCTGTGTATGGTGGGCTCTTACCCCCCTACCCCAGCTGTCCAAGTCCCAAGGCCCTTGTGTGTGCCTGGGGCTCCTCTGCCCTGCCTTTATTCCCCCACCCCATAGCAAAGGCAGGTGGGGAAGGAAGCTGGCAGGTGGAAGCCTCAAGGTTCCATCTCTAAAAGAGTCCATAGAGGCCAAGGTGTAGGGCAACACCATGATGTAGTATTCAGGCCTCGGACATACTGCATGGCTCAGAGCCCTGTGGGTATGACTCCCTTTCCTAACCAGAGCCACCAACTATAATTAAGAGGTGATATGGTTGTTACCACCGTCATTATCTGGCAGGCGAGGAAGCGGATACTCAGAGATCAAATGCTTTACCAGGACATTGGTGGAGCTAGGATTGCATCTGGGGCTGTTTGAGTGCAGAGCTCAGGCTCTTTGAGACCACTACAATGTCCTTCATCTCCACCTCTGTCTCACTGGTTTGAGAGATTACAGTTTTTCTTCTCTAGCATCTCTTTTTACCCCCTGCCCCCTCCATAGTAGGAGGAGAGGTTTAAGTACCACTGTCCTGAAGCACGAAGTAACCATAGAGCATCTCGGCGGCAAACTCTGCTAGCAGCTTCTTCTGATACATAGATATATTTACAGAGAAAAAAAAAATCAGAAGATAGTACAATCATTTTTTTCATCTTATGCTAGCCCATTTATGTTTTGTGCGGTTGTCACGGATCTGAAACCCTCGATACTTTTGCTGCCCTAATTACTTTTTAATTGCACAGTCTTAAATAACCTGTTGGCAATATAGTGTTCTGGGTACACCCATCAATGTCTAAAAATGCTCATAAAACCTCTTTCCATGCCAGCACCCCCAGCAAGTACTTCATGTCCCTCTCTCCAGCAAGCTGAGTGGTTGGGAGGCAATTATAGAATTAACACATAAAAGAAAATGAAATCAAGACATTCTTCGCTATGGCCCTGAGGGCTGAGATTACATGCAGCTCTCTGTCAAAAATAACTCAAGTTGCAATTGGAATCCCCCAAACAAGGAACACTCTGTTGCAAGATACTCTTTCAAAACAGAAGGTCATGATCCTCTTCCTCCAGTAGAAAACTCAATTAGGAATGAGTCTTAAAGTGAATGATGAAATGAGAAGATCTACACAGTCTTTATAGGTGCAAGGTTAGGTGTGAAGAGCCTTGGCTGTCACTTTGACTGGGGGCTACCGTTACCCTGGGAAGTCTGCGTGGATTTGGTCTCACCTGTCCGGGGCATACTCTCACAGGAAACAGAGCATTAGTACCAACTTCTATCTAGGCTGGAATTTTGTGTTCTCGAGCTCTTTTGCCAGCACAAAGTAGATCAACTTCTTGGGAAAGTGTTACAGTGAGAAGTGCCCTGTGGTTTTTATGGCACTGAGTTCCCTGAATCTTGCCAATTCACAGAATGCCACTGCCTGGTTTTCAGTGGTGTGTGGCAGCATCATGGCCCCATGCAAAACTGTAAAGTAGGTAAAGTGTCTCTTTGGAGCTCTTCCCTCCTCTGTCTTTCCTCACCCTCCTCCAGCTTTTCAGAAGCCCCTCTTGTCTAGTCCCCAGGAGCCCAGGGCTGTGTTTTAGCTGCCCGCTGAAGCCTGACCTCTGAGATGCTCCACGTTCCAAGATCAGCCTTCTCTTCCCACCCCCTATAGCTGAAGAAACTTTTATTCCTCTGTTCCCATGGTCTAATCTAGGAGGAATGCAAGCTAATAAAACATCCTACATTCAGGTCAGAATAAATGCTAAGTTTAATCATCCTAACCGGCACTTAAAAATATGCTCTGCAATTCGTATTGGTAGCCTGGGTAGGGGGGTATTTTTGAACAGAACTTCATGATACAGCACAGGTGCTGGGCGTGGTAAGGACTTGGGAGCTCAGTATTGAAATGCCACCACCACTCAGCAACGTCTACCTTTGCGGAATGGTAAAGCCACTTCTCTATCTGGGGGATGAATCCTAGGCCAGGGATTCTACAGCCCTAGACTGGGGGGAGACTAGACGGCCAGCTTCCTCCTTGGGAAGGAAGTTGCAATTAGAATCCTCCCAGGAAGGCCCAGAGGAATACATTCTTTCCAGTTCTGTCATTCAACCAAATTAGAGGCTCAGCCACAAACTAAGAGGTGACATCCTCATGGGGTACAGGTGGTGTACCTCAGTTTAAAATTGGACCTCTCATATGTTCATCAGCCTCCATTGCTAAGCATGTTCTAAGGCAGGCATCCTCAAACCACAGCCCGCGGGCCACATGCGGCCTGCCTAGGACATTTATCTGGCCCGCCAGGTGTTTTTGCCGCCACTGCCTGTCCTGCTTAGCAGTCGACTCATCCTGGGGCCTGCAGTCTGGCCTTCCAACGGTCTGAGGGACAGTGAACTGGCCTCCTGTTTAAAAAGTTTGAGGACCCCTGTTAAGGAGACCAGAGCTTTGTAAAAAGCTCAAGACAAGAACTGGAGGGTGGCACGGCAAGCCTTGCCTCTTCTTTGGGATAGTTTGGCCACTTAGTACCCTTCAACAGGGAAAGATTTGTTTTGTCTGGCTGTTGACCTTGATCGTGGTGAGAAACAGCTAAAGAGGTGTCTGGCTGGCAAGTGTAGAACAGAATTGCTTGGTCCAGCTAATTAACGTGGTGGCTCTAAGAAGGGTGTGTGATAATGAAGTGGCAATCCCTGCACCTCCTCCTCTTGGATTCTTGTCTTTTGGTTTAATTTTTCCTGAGCGAGAGAGACCACAGTGTCCCCTGCAGAGAGGGGTCCCTGAATAGACTGAGGACTAACTAGAGGCACCCACAGGACATCCAAGGCTGAGGAGAACGGAACACGGATTTCATGGGGTCTCCATTTGGCTCTGAGCTTCTTAGAAGGAGAAGTATATCCTCTAAAAAATACAGGCACTTGTTTAGGGAAGTGAAATGAAGACGCTAAATAAAAGCAGCCAGTGTGTGCTTCTGGCCTTCCATGGTATTTTCCATATTATTTTGTGCGTAAAATAGCATAAGCTGTGTTTGTGTTTGGCATTCCTCACCCACCCAAAAAACCAAGAAAAGCAGAAAACAAGCCTTCACACTGCACTGTTTCTAATGTAGCCAGACGGCAGACTGAGGGGGGAGTCAGAGCAAGAAGGCAAAATGTGCCCTGATGCTGCGTCACCTCGGGGACTGCTCTGTGGATCCAGGTGGGAACCAAGTCACCTCCTGGAACGCCCTGTGGATCCATGTGGGAACCGAGTCACCTGGAATGCCCTGTGGATTCAGATGGAAACTGAATCACCTCCTGGAATGCCCTGTGGATCTAAGTGGGAACCGAGTCACCTCCTGGAATGCCCTGCTCAGATTCAGGTCCTCTGGGCTGAGCTCCCTCTTGGAGCTGCCAGTGGGCTGTGGATCTGCAGGAAGCTGATATGATTTACCTGAAAAACGTCAGCATTAAATCCATTGCAAGTTCCATTTTAAATTATGACCCCTTTCTGTTTCTTCCTTCTTAAATCAGGGTTAGTGATTCACCTCGTTTCCAAATTGATAGGTGATAGATACTCTGTATGAGTTTATATACCTAGGTCCCTATCCTTTCCCCGTGAACTTGGGCAGAGCCATTTGTTTATTAGAATCAGAGGAAAGAAATGCTTCACTAGAGGGTTCATCTTTCACATGATCTAATGGGGGCTAATAGAAAGGGAAGAGTAATTAACACACTATTCATTATCCATTGTACTTTAAACTAATTCGTGGAAGGTTGCTTTGCAATAACAGAAAAAGCATTAGGTTAGGGAGAGAGAAAATCAAGTCTGAGTCCTTCTTCATGACCAAGGGGCTGTGTGAGGCAGCTCCGAGGCCCCCAACTGCTTAGCGCAGACACAACACCCCCTAATCTGAGCAGGCTGGGGGTAAAGAGATGTAAAGTTAGGAGAGCACCACTGAAGAATAAGGTATAACGGAGCAAAATACGAACAGTAAGATGTGCCTTGTCGTTGTGCCTGACTGCAGGCTCAGTGGCCACTAGCACCTGAGATGGCGAGACCCTTGGGTGTGCTTGGATCTCTCAAGTCCTTCACTTGGAATCCAAGTGGCCCACCAGGAAAGCTCTGCCCACCGGGGAAGATGAGCTCTTCTATCAGCCTGCTCCTTTCCTGCTGGGAGCTTTGCTCTAGAATAAAATGGCAGCAGACAAGGCAGCATTGCAGACACTGCTGGAGCCTAGGCATCTGAGCAGGCGCCATTCCCGCTGTGGGCTTTGCTCTAGAACAAAGTGGCAGACACAGAGCATATCCAGCGGGTTCTTCACACTGCAGCTCGAGGGTAATCCGTCTGCTGCAGATACTCTGTGGCTTCTGAAGCCAGTCCTCCCGCCCTGGCTGGTGTTTCTCAGTCTCTATGGACCAGCACCACCAAGGCAGCCTCCTGCTGCTTCCTTCTTCTGCCCTTCTTAATAGAACCCGACTACTCGGCTCCCACTCAGCAACTACTAGACTACTGTCCTGAGTCACCCACTCTTTCCCTATCCACTGTCAGGATGGGGGAGATCAGCTAGGTACCTTGCAGGTCACTGGGTTGGGGACTCTGTACATCCAGTTGAACTTAATGTCCCCAATTCCTGAAAAAGTCCATTGCCATACGGTCATGGAGAGGTTGGCTGCTCTTGCCACTAACACAGGCACTTTGCCTTTGCTCTCTAGATTCTGAAAATAGGCCAAGAACTACGCTGTAAGGACTTGAATGATCCACTGGCCTTCTTTATTTAGTGTCTTCATTTACACAGAATTGTCTCTTGCTTTCTGTGCTAATGCCTCCAAAGGGTAGTCACTGGGGAGTGGAGGCCTCTGGATAATTCATCTAATTCTTGGTGACTGGGACAGCAGTGTCTCCTAGAGGTACAGAAGCTTCAATGTCTAGACCCCTCCAGGTGTCAGTGAGCAAAATCCAACAGAACTGAGAAAACTCTCCCTCACTTCCCGACTGGGGAGAGGGGCTCACGGAGGATGCTGTTAGTACCGACACATCTAGTCATACCGCCAGCATCATGGAAGGACAGCCTTTAGACTGCGAGAACGTCTCAGAGCAAATACAACTTGATTAGAAATAGTCAGAATCCGAGTTTGCTAAGATTGTTCATCTAAGTGAGTGTTAAACCCATCCACTGAAAATATATTGCTAATCAAGTTTTTCAAGTGGAAATGGGGGTAGACATAGTTGCTCTAGGTTAGGGAAAAAAAAGATTCAAATGCTAAAAGCCTTTCTTGAAATTTAGTTATTTATTTATTTTTCCAAAACAGAAGACCTTGGATTCTTTTCTTTTGGTTTAATTTTGAATTTTAAAAGACTTTTACTTTTAAATTATTTATTATGGGTACATAATATTTGTCTATCTTTAGAGGGTACATGTGATGTTGTGATACAGGCATTGAATGTGAATTAATCCAATCAGGATAACTGGGGTATCTATTACCTCAGGCACTCAGCATTTCACTATGATAGGAACATAACAATTCTACCCATTTAGTTATTTTAAAATATACCCTAACTTATTGTTGATTATAGTTGCTTTATTTTACCATCAAATATTATTCATTCTAGCTAACTAGGCACATGTTTGCACCCATTAACCACCCCCACTTTACCCCCTTCTCCCTCTACCCTTTCCAGTCTCTGGTAACCTCTTGAAATTTAGATATAGCAGAAAGCAATGATTTCTTCAGGGAAAGTTTCAAAATGTTTTGAAATTTTTAGAACCATCTGCGTATAAGGCTAAAGTAATTTTATGGACTGAGGACTAAAGTTACTTCTAAGAAATAAAGCAAATCAATTGAGACTTTTTTTTTAGAGACAGAGTCTCACTTTGTTGCCCTTGGTAGAGTGCTGTAGTGTCACAACTCACAGCAACCTCCAGCTCTTGGGCTTAGGAGATTCTCTTGCCTCACCCTCCCGAGTAGCTGGGACTACAGGCACCCACCACAATGCCTAGCTATTTTTTGTTGCAGTTTGGCTGGGGCTGGGTTTGAACCCACAACCCTCAGTATATGGGCCCAGCGCCCTCGTCACTGAGCCACAGGTGCTGCCATGAGACTGTTCCCAGATCAGAAGAATATCCCAGAAAGCAAGGAATCCCAGATCAAGTGCACTCTCCCACCCAAATAAGGTCCCTCTCTTTCTCTCTCTCTCCCTGTGTGTGTGCATGCATGTGAAAATGTACTAGAACATGTATGAAACATCAAGCTGGAGAGTTAGCTGTGAATGAAATGGTGAGTTCTGGGCCCGGTGGCAAGCAGAGAACTTTAGCTCAAATACTCGGGATTGTATCTGGTGTCTAAACCAAAGGGCAGTGCAGTACCTACCTTATTTGTTGCATCAATAAATTTGACTCCTTTATATGAGACAGAAAGAATAATGGTAGGGACCTTCTTCATTTGCTCTGTAGACTTCTGAAATTAAAATCAGAAAGCTGTTAGAGCAGTTTGTGTTGCATGGCAACTGCAGCACATAATTTTTCCTCTTGAAAGATAAAAATGAGCTCAAATTAAAAACAACGTACACACACATCAAAAAAAACGCACCACACACACACTCTAATTTCAATGTTTCTCTCTTCTCCTGGGCTTTGCTATACTTTGAGCTTACAAAGTTATCTGTCTGGCTCTGGAAGATCGAGAAAGAGCTTGTTCTGCTCCTTCCTGGGAATAAAGGAGATTCCTCTTCCCTGACCCCAAAGGGAGAAGGAAGAGCTGTCCCCTACCGCAACGTCAAGCGACCTTCCTTTCCCAAGGATTAAAAACCATGTCAGGTTTAACTCCAAGGGTGCATTCAGCATTAGCAAAATACATGCCCTTCCTTTCCTAGTCACCCTCATTCTTCAAAGCCCAGGGGATGCTTGGAGATATACTTAAAATAGGGATGAAAAATACATCATCGTGAATCATTCTCGGACCTAGCCAAATCCACCAAAACTGATAATTGTATTTGCAGCAGAATAACTTGTGACCAGGCGGGATATAATGGGGCACTGTAACGATGACGCCCTCCAGGAGCAGTCTGTATTCTGAGCACAGCGAGGCGCCGGACTGCGCAGGTCGCCTACTTTATCATCAGAGCTGCGGGACTCCCTGAGGCGGAGTTCTCATGATAGAGGGTCGTGCCGGCTTAATGTGCTTAGAGCTGGCGGCTTGTACAGTTTCACGCGTCTGCAGAAAGTTTCTCCATAATTCAGCAAGTGCCCTCCCTGTTTAGTTTTTCTCATTCATCACGGGGCATCCACCGTCTGCTGACTGCATTTCCCTCTGTGTTAAGCCTAACAATGACATCAAGCATCAAGAAGAACCTACCTGACAGTTAGCCTGATGGATTTTCCAGGGTAAGACAGGTGGGAACATAATGGGAAAGAAAACACACAAAGGGTGAGAGAGAGGAAACCGTTTCCATAATTCACCAACAACAGCACAGATTCATTAAAAGGAAAAGGACGCCATGAAAGCAGAGGAGGTTGGCGGACATCTGTAGAAGGGGAGCGAGTGTTATTATTTCACAAGCCGCCCCAGGCTCTCACACGGGCCATCTTTTCCCTTGTTTTCTCAGCATTCTTAGGACTGACACCGGAGAACCTGTCGCTTTGAACTTGTGAGGACCAGCTGTCCCATCAGGAAAAAATATGAATTTCCTTGATTTCTTCATATTTCATATTCAATTTTCCCTTTTTAAATTCTGCAAGGTGACCAGGATGAATGAAGGCTTTGAATTGGGTGGTGTGAGTGGAACTCTGTAAACCCGGTAATGAGACTTAGATTGCATTATTCACTTGTGCTCCAGAAAGGGGGTTTCACGTTTTCCTACTTACTTTGACATAATAACTTTTTGACAGTTACTCTATCTTTTCAAAGGCAAAGAAAATGGATTAGGAAGTGTCGCTACTTAATATTTATTGTTTTAAACAGCATATAAAAAAGCCACTCTCTTGAGATGCCTTCTAACTAGTTTTAAAACTACCCAGACTCATCAGTTTTCTTTTGTGACTGCGAGAAAGAGATCTGAAAATGAAATACAAGGTTAGAAGCTTTTATCTTTTTATTTTTCTGAAACAGAGCCTCTCTGTGTCACCTGGGCTAGAGTGCCACGGCCTCGGGCTAGCTCAACCTCAAATTCCTTAGCTACGTAACCTCGAACTCCTGAACTCAAGTGATCCTCCTACCTCAGCCTCCCTTGTAGCTAGAACTACATGTGTGTGCCACCATGCCTAGCTAAGTTTTCTATTTTTAGTAGAGATGGGGTGTCACTTTGGTCAGGCTGGTCTCAAACTCCTGAGCTAAAGCAATCATCCCACCTTGGCCTCCCAGAAGTGTTAGGATTATAGGCATGAGCAAACTGTAGCAGGCCCAAACTTCTATCTTTTTAATGCTTTTTCCAAGCATTTTTTTAAAATATGGGAGACTAATGAAAGGCAAGGCTAGAGGAAATAATATGCAGTATGTTAATTTTCAGGCAAAGCAATGGCTGAATTCTGCAAAGGGAGAGGGGTAAGGCAGCCAAGGAAATAGTCTGGGCAAAGGAATGTGTGCGTGTGTGAAGAATTCTTTGCAAAGCATCACAATAGATTTCAATAAATCACCCCTCTTATCTCTTGCCATGAATATACTCTCCCAGACAGATCTATCTGTACCACAAAACAACATACAGCTAACATTCAAATGAAAACACCAGCCTTTTATTTAGTATCAAAAAAATCCGTTTGTCATCTGTTCAGCAATTGAACTGAACAAATTTATTTTAGGCAGCCACTGTACTTGTCACTGGAAAAGTTCAGAGTCTAGTTCAGGGCATGTCAACCAGACCTCAAATTGTGTGCAAATGCCAGTCTGCTGAACGAGGCTGCCTGAAGTGTTCTGTGTTAAGAGAGATTCTGAGCCTGTGTCTGAGCTCAGTGGGAATGAGGGGTGGGTTGGAGATGATGTTGGCTGGCCAGGGGACGGAGGGAGGAGAGGAAGGGGCAGCAAGGAGCCACACATGGCCACTCCTGGCCTGGCCTGATATGAAGAACAGCTACAATACAATGTTGACAGGAGCAACACAAGAGAGATGAGCTGAATAGTCAACAAGGAAGAGCCTCTATTTGTGTGAGAGAGTGGACCAAGTCTTCATTCATTCATTCAACCAACATCAATTGTCTGCTAGGGGTGACTGAGCTGGCTTTTAAAGGATGAATGGGTGGAAAGAAGTATGGAGAGTCCTCAAAGAACTGAAATTAGATCCCCACTTGACTCTCCTATCCTACTACTAGGCAACTACACGGAAGAAAAAAATGCTTTTATCATAAGGACCTATGCACTGGATTGTTTATTGCTGCTCAATTTACAATCACCAAGTTGTGGAAACAACCTGAATGCCCACCAACCTAGGAATGGATTAACCAACTGTGGTATGTGTATACCATGGAATACTATTCAGCCATAAAAAGAGATGAGACTTCACGTCTTTTGTTTTAATCTGGATGGAGCTGAAACACATTCTTCTCAGTAAAGTATCACAAGAATGGAAAAGCAAATATCCAATGTTCTCAATACTAATATGAAGCCAGCAGATGATGTAATTCACACCCACATAGGAGAAAAACTCATTTCAATTCAAGTTGGGAGGGGGGGAAGAGGAAAGGGAGGATTTGGGGTGCTCCCACTGAATGGGCACAACGTAGGGGTGTATGTCACACCTTTTGGGTGCTGGACATCACTCCAAGAGGGACTCTACCTAACAAATTCAAATATTGTGATTTGGTCATTTGTACCCTCACATTAACCTAAAATTAAAAACATCTATATTACAAAATAAAGGATGAATGGGAATTTTCCAGGTGGCAAAAGAGGAGGAAAGAGGCCATTTAAGCAGCAGAACCAATATATACACGTACATAGACCTAGAAATGAGAAGTGATACTGTGGGTCTGGATAACTGGTGGAAGAGGAGGGCATTTCAGTAGGTTTAGAAGCTGGTAACTTACTCCGCGGCACCAGCAGATCTGTGTTGCTGAAGGACAGTTCCGGGGAGGATGGGCTGGAACAGGCAGAGGCTGGATGCAGGCAGGCCGGAATGCAAAGGGGGGGCCTGAGCACCCATCTGAAGGTGTGGCCCCGGGGAACAGCACAGAGCCAAGGAGGAAGCATGGAGATGTGTTGACCATCCTGCCATGGAAGATGAGGGGATGAAGGTAGACAAATGTCACCGATGAGGAAGCATTTCCAGAGCTCAGGAATACGGGAGGGGGACATGCTTTTGCAAAGGAGTCACGGAAATGCTCTTGCATGTGCTCAGTTTGATGTCCAGGGGGAAATGAGACATGAGAATCAGATCTGGAAATCCATCCACAGCCAAGGAGAGGGGAACGGAATAGAAGGTGAACAAGAGGGAGGCTGAGGATCACACGGGAGGGAAGAGGAATTCTTAAGGGGTGGGGAGAAAACAGCAGCCAAGGAAGGAACAGGAAATGGAACTGGCAGACATCCACAGCATGTTATCACGGAAGTCAAGGTGGAGATGGCTCTGAAGGCAGGACAGTCCCCGATGCCAGGAAGGCTACAAAGGCCTAACTCATTGTGCCCACACAGCGGGTGACGCTGCTACTTGTATTGCATTTGCTGGGGGAAGTCCCTGGCTTTAGCAACAAGAAAAATTTGTTGGTGATTTTATGAAGAAGAACTTCAGAGGAATGGTGGAGGTAGATGGGGGAAAAGAACACTGTAAGTTGTGCAAAGAATGCCAGGGGGAGACGGCTGAGAGCCGGGACAGTGGGTGGGTTATGCCACAGGCTGCCAGGCTGACACAAAGGCTCCTGCCTGGGTACAAAGATTCCCCATGAGATGCTCAACCATGCTGAACAAAGAAACAAAAAGATAAACGATGGTCGCTTCTTTTTCTTTTGAGGTGCTAAGAATCCTTAATCTCCTAAGTCGAGGCAGCACTGGGGTGCCAAGGCTGCGTGTGGCCCTTTAAAAATGTCAGTGTTGGGGCTGGGGGACATGTCCAATCCAGAGCCCAGAATGTACTCTCCCCACCCAGTCCCTTGACAGGAAGATAATGGGTCCAGCCTGGGAGGGTGGGAGGTCTTCTAGGCGAAGCTCCTAGTTTAAAGCATTCCTACCCTCTGCAGGAGATAAGGATCTTAAATTCTTTTAAGGGGATTTCTGATGGTGTACTTAGAGCTTTCAAAGAGGTCTTTTCATATAGAATTTTAAGGAAAAATGAAAATGCATAGAAAGCAAGAAAATAAACTGAGTCTTCAGGGGGGGTCTAACTGGGGAAGCAAGAACTCCTGTAAGTGCCCACTCATTTCACCAACACTTTGTAGATCCCTGACTGTGAGCATAGGCTTCAGTCCAACCACAGGCAAGGGCCCACCTTTCCCTGTTTCCTCTCCAGCGTTGAGATTACCACGCTCTTCTCCCTCCCAGGGAAGAAGATGCCCACTTTGCACAGCTCTGCTCACGTTACAAAGTTCGCATACTCTTGGGCAGCACACGCCCCACGACCTGTCAGCTCTGCCGGGTGTCTGTACAGTTAATACTCCTGTCTGTTTATATTAAACATTCAAGCCTTATTTATTTGTATAAAGAGCCCCTTGTCAGGCTCATTTCCCCAGTAAGATGCTCAGGGCCAACCTGATGGCATGGTTTGCTTTTGTTTCCAGATGCTTTCTCCTCTGCCTTGGCCTTTGTGGAATTTTTGACGTTTCCCAGAGTCCTCAAATTTTTTTCCCTTCGGAGCCAGCTTTCCAGAAGAGACTAATTTGTAATGAAGACCTCTGGGTAGTTAAGCAGGTGAATCGTCATGGGGAATGCCCCCAGTTAACTTCCCCTTTACCACATCTTGCTCTCTTGCAAAAAACAGTACAGAGATCTTCAACTGAATTTTGTTCCCAATTTCCCGAATTAAGATTATCCTTTCATTATTCTAAGAGAAACAATATTTACTTGTATAGAGATGTTACATTCTGAAACCTAAAATAAAGCGTAAGCTTGACTTCTAAGGCAGCCTTTCATTTGGCATTTTGGGTTTATATCGTCTAGAACCATTAAACAGAACAGGGCTCACAATTTTATATCTGGAAGTGGCCACTTGAAATATTGTTCTTTTTTCCTGGGATGCTGTGACTTGGATGAAATGCTGTTCTTTTTTTTTTTTTTTTTTTTTTTGTATTGTTAGGAATTCATTGAGAGTATAAGAAACCAGGTTTCACTGATTGCATTTGTTAGGTAAAGTCTTTCTTACAATCATGTTTTGCCCCCAGAAGGTGTGGCACACACTGAGACTCCACCCCCCTCCCTCCTTCCCTCTCTCTGCTAATCCCTTCCCCACT